TGTGTGTGTGTGTGTGTGTGTGTGTTTTTGCTGTTTCTGTCTTGAATTATTGAGTTATTTAACACGGACTGGCCACAGACAGTGTATGTAAATGTATATGAGCCCGGCTGCCTCGGCCTCCTGTTACAGGGGATCTGTGAAATAAAGCTTTATGAAAGGGACTCGGCTGCTTCTCTGCCTCCGTCGGACGCTTCAGTTCAAACCTGACGTACGTGTGCTTTATATTTAACGCCGTTTTGTTCTTCTGTTCGACTGCTTTTATCCGACAGCTTCAAGAATCGAGATTTATTACAAACGAAACACACAAACAGGTGATGAAACATGAAGCTTTGGTGCAGATTTACTTGTTTTAATCCAGAATTTTTGCATTTTCAGCTCCTCAGATGTGCTTTAGTTTAACAGTTTTGAAGTCTGGACTCATTAGTTGAACCAAACAAGTGCTGTGAAGGTGTCAGTTTTATTTTTTTAGTTCAAGGAAATCATCAGCAAATGAGTCACCTTGAAGAGCTTCTGCAGTAAATTCCTGCTTTTAGAATAAAATAGAATAAAACTTTATTGATCCCTTTGGTGCAAACCTCTGGGAAATTGTTGAATATTTTACATAATATGACATGATGTATTACATGAACTAAATTACACTTGCTCTTAATTCTCACCGTATAACACATGAAGAGCCAATAAAATGTGATTTTCTCATCATTTTACAACAGAAAATGTCAAATATTTCATCATTTCAGCCTGTTAAATGAGAGCATTTTGATTATTTTATTGTATTTTTAAAGTTTTTTTAGGTTTGGACTGAAACTAGTGCTGTGAAAATCAATTTAAACTTCTTTTTTTAAAAAAAACAAAACTTACGATAATTGAAGAAAAACAGATAAAATCCCATTTCTACGTGACCTAATGAACACTTGCTCTTCCTTCTTGCTTTATCACACAAAGAGCCGATTAAATGTCACATTTTTTATATATTAAACAGTTTTAAGATTGTTTTATGTTAGAAAATGCCAAATATTTAATATTTATTTTTAAATAAATTAAATCTAGATTTTTTTGTGTGAACTGTCGGCCGGACAAAACAAATTCTTTTTCTAACAAATCAAACAACTGATTAATCAAGAAAATCTTCAGCAACACAGTGATAAAAACAAACATCTGATTCTATCATAGATAAAAAGTCCAAACAGATATTCTCCTGTTTTCATCACTTCAAGAACTTTTTCCTGGTTGTACTTTTATATATTTACCTGACTAATATTTTTATTAAATGTTTCTCAGGATCTTTAGTTTAAGACTAATTATATCCAGTAATTAAACTTGAAATGAACAGAACTGGAAGGTCTTCAAATAAAAAAATAAATAAAGAAGAAAACTTCACTGCTGACATGTTTTTGTCAGAAGAAGAAGAAGGAAGCAGAGAACGAGAAGTCTGATGTGCTTCTTTGTGAAAAACAGATTTCAGGACTTTAAAACCAGAAGATTAAAGCACTTTTATGTATTTTCTGTTCTCAGGATGTTAAACCTTCTAACTCCAGCAGGTGGCAGCACTGACCAGGAAATCTCACATGAATGTAGATTATTTGCTCTTCTTGTGCATTTAAACGCAACTTTAGAAGAAGCTGAGAAACACGAGGATTTCTTTGTTCTTTGTTTATTTCCTGCAGAGGATCTGAGGCCTCGATGCTCCTCAAACAGACCAAACATTAAACTAGTTTATCCATCGTTCTTCATTAAAACATTTATTTTGAATGAAGTCAGCTTCTCAAATGTCAAATCTCTGTTCTCTGAATTATTTTAGTTTATTTTTAATCATCTTCAGCTTGAATTGATGCTGAAAAGACACCAAAACACAAGTTTCTCCTCTTGTGGTGCTTTTCAACATTAAATTGTGGGTAATTATGTTTTCAGACACAAATTTGCAGAAAAAAGACTCTTTTGCATCAAAGTGAAATCAGATTTTTTACAAAATAATGTCAGTTAATTACAAATCATTGACTGCAGAAGTATTTACCTGCTTCAAAGCGACTCACAGAACCTAGGTGGACTCAGGTGGACTCAGGTGGACTCAGGTGGACTCAGGGCCGTCCTGGTCTGAGACCAAACAAGAACATCTTGAGTCCATTTCTGCAGCAGATTGTTCTGAATTCACTCACATCTTGTCTGTTGTGTTTTTGTCATACTGGAATAATCCTGGTCATGAAATATAAAACAAGTTCCTATAAATGTACATGTGAAGGGAGAAAATAATAATAATAATAATCATCATCATCATCATCATCATCATCATCATCATCATAATCATCATAATCATAATAATAAACTAGAATATGTGAGAACTTCATTGAGGTTGGAGTTTTATTGCCGGATGTGGTTTTAAATGTGGGCTGAGATGCAACAAATACGTTCATGTGTTATCAGACTGAGCACAGATATGACTTTATGTTGCTGAAACAGGTTAATATGAGCACCTGGAGCCAGTAAATGTTGAGCCTGTGATCAGGAAACCTTCCTGCTCTGCTCTGGTCGCTGCTTCACATGATTCTGTTTTTTTTAAGCTGAGCTGCTGAAAACACTTGAAAAATGGTTCAAACAGCCTTCAGCAGAATCCCACTGTTGGACATAAATCTGTTCTGGAGCCGAGTTCGGACTGACAGCAGCAGGTTCGGTTCCACATAAATCAGTCCCACTTTATTTATAACTCACCTGTCACAGGTTAGTTCACAGCGACGGTCAGGTTTAGGCTGAACAGAGCGACAGGAAGCTGCACTAAAAAATACAAGAAAGAAATCTATTTAAAATATTATTTAAAGGAGAAAACATCAAACATAAAATACTTTGATAAAATAGAATAAATAGAAAAAACATGAATGAATAAAATACAATTTAAATGTATGGAAATTTAAAAAAAAATTAAAAACACAAATCCTTAAAAAATCATTTTAAAAAATAGCTAAAGTTGAATAAAATCAAATAAAACAATGTGATTTTTTTCAAATAATAAAAACACAAAAAAATGTTTAAAAATGCCATAAAAGACTTGATTTTTAAAAAAAAAAAAACTAAATGAAGTTATTGAAAGCTGAAATATTCAAAATAATAAAAGCAGTT